TCAATTATTTCCCTGTGAATAAAGATGTGAATCAATATGGAAAACGAAGGAAATCCATCATTCTGAAATTAACAAACTTTCTCCCTAGATCCTTCAATTACCTATTTAACGTTATGATATATTGTCCTTTGTAGTAGTTAATTAGATTCAAGTTTTGTAACGTCGATATCACATCTTCCTTTTTGATAGACGTTAAATCACAGATTTCACTTATAGTTATTTGTGGCTTTTCATTTTCGACTATTGGTTTAATGTTCAATAATATATCGAGTATCGTATGGGTCCAATAACTTCGATACGATAACAAGCCCAAATCGGATAATGGCTTTTCTGGAGATCCAGTTTTACCCTCGAATTTCGAGAGTTCGTAGGAAAATTCTATTAATAATTTTCCATATCCTTTTCTTTGGTACGGTGGCAGTGTGAGAATACATGCTACGTTATGATCCTCCGGTGATTCTTTCTCTTTAGAAAAATATCCAACAATGTGAAAACCTCTGCTATCAAAGTCAGTCATAACGTAGAATAGAAAAGGGTCAGTGTCGTAATACAATGTCTTATGATCGAGAAATAATTTTGCTAATAAACATAAATTTTGTGCGTAATTTTTGTTCTTCCTACCATCAATTTCGAAAAACGAAATAGACCCTTTTCGATATATCTCATTTCCCGGTGGATGACGTAAATTACACTTTGCCAGATGCCTCTCCAAACACTTTCTACTTTTCCTATACTTCAAGCAGAATTCACATATATATATACACGGAAGATTCACCATCTCTTGTGGATATGGACTGAAATACCATGGTTTTATCCTATGACGACCTAATTCTATAAGTTCAACATTTTTCATTCGTGTGACAACATCATCGTGTTGATGAGAAACCAATGAACCAGTAGGTCTTGGACCTGTAGTTTGAGGTGGGCCATCTTGAGAATCCTCGTTCTCTAAAAACGTTGACTTTCTCTTCTTTGACATTTTCTTTTGTAATGCTGCTTGTAATACAGCAGTACCATTTAACGGTTTATTACTAACACTACTAGGACTAGAAGGTCTGCTTTGCACTTGCTTTTTTGGAGTACCTGCTCCTGTTCCAGGAGCTGTGCCATCTCGTTGAGGATATTGAACTTTTCTAGTATCCAAACAATCTTCAGTTACCCATTCATCTAATCGTTTATTAACTGGAAAATTATTTTCAATATAGACCAGTCCACATTAAAAAAAAAAAAAAGAAAAAAATATAGACATTAGCTTCATTCAGGAAAACTACTTACAATCAACATAATGCACGTAATAACATCTGATACCATGTATGTCCTTAACACTGATAATTTCAGCTAGGGCTGTGAATAGTAAAATTACTATTATGACATAATGTTTAAAAGATTAATAATACTATACGATATTAATATCATGAACGATTGATTTACTTCTTAGATAATTCTCATTGAATTATATGAAATAAAAATGGTTGCTAAATATAACCTCAAAATGTTAAAACTATTTACTCTTTATACTTCGGAAAACTTTTAATTGTATAATATATATGAAAATTTATAGTTTTAACTGTATACATACGAGCATATATTTTATATAGAATTTTATTTGAATATGATATGAATATAATTGAAACGAATCTTTGATTATGTGATGGACAATATACGACAAATATAATAAAACCTAACAATAATGTTCTAAAAATAATGACAATTTAGATTGAAAAAAGAATCTAATGATTAACTAACTCACGCCAATCGTCTGTTCCATGCATTTTGACTGGCAAACGACAACCTTCCACAAGTGAATTCTGAAAGAGGTTAGAATATCGTGATACTTCGAAAACAAATTTTCTTATTCGCTTTTTAAAGAATTTCATTAATTTTAATAACTATCACGTTATTAAACTTACCACAGAATCGTATATCGTTTCATGCTCATTGTGTTCTTCGATCATTTTAATTGAAATTTACAAAATCAAACACTACACACTTTTTTGTTTTAAACTTCTACGAAACTACACAAGTACCACACCACTTATACAATAAATCCCTTTGACTATGAAGAGGACATAGAAAGTAAAATCTAGGAGAAAATTCTGATCTTTTTATATTGGTTGAAATCGGGCGAAACACTAGACTTACTTCGAATGAGTTGATAAACTGATATTGAGGTCGCTATCTTAGTTTCATTCATAATACATATACCTGACATATTTATGAGTCATGACTTATGAACGTTTTACGATATTTCCAAGTAAAATTTAAACTTCATGATAAAAACATAACCTAGTGTTGAATAAATATATATATACATATATATATATACATATATATATATATATATATATATTGTTTACATACATATATTTCTCTACGTATAATGCAAGTATATCGACTCTGTCGGAAAAAGTAATATATGAAAATTAATTCTAGGTTATTTTTTTTTCTTTTTTAGTAAAGTTCCAAATACATGTTAGTTGTCGAATAAATTTGTAATTTC